GAATCGAGCCGAGTCTTCATCCGAACCCGACTTGAGCGCGCCAAGTCTGAGCCAAGTCAGCGCTTTTGGCCAGCTTCGTGTGCCGAAGTCAGTCTCAGTTTTGTTTGGCATCTAAGCCAGCACGGAAATTGTTTTGGTTTTAACGGCAACAACAATCTTTCTATTTTCCAATTGAAATTGTTTCACTGGAGCAGCCGCAGTTAATGGCAAACTCATTAGGCTGTGTTATAAAATATTCAGGAATTGAAATCTGTGGTTAAACTTTCCAATTGCCAGTGAGTCTGCACTCTGCGACTTCATGTGACTACATCGATCTCTGATCCGCGATCCGTGATTTGTGATCCGTGATCAACGCCTACAATTTTACCATGCTAGTGTCGCTTCTTGGCCATGTAGACGATTTGGTCTAAGAGTTGTTTTAGCCAAATCAGAGTCAAGCGCTTAAAACGCTTCTTATAAGGGTAGCGCCCTAAGTGGCAGCCATCTACGTATCTTGTTATACTTGTGAGTCTTTTGTCGTTACTCATAGACAACCAAATCAAGCCAAAGGCTTTGTTGGCCCCACACCTTAGTGCTGCCCATTAAATGGAGCAGATGAAGGTATATAGGTTTGTCACAAAATTAAAAATCTGTTTTAAAACTCTTTCGGTTCTAAAAAACCAATTTTTGCTTATGAAGCCTTGATTTGATATTCTGAAAATATTAAGTGCAGTGGGCATTTTTAGTTTTTTGGTTAGCAGTTTGGTATACCCTGTTATATTTCTTTATAGTGAATCACAAAATTATACACATATTCTAAAAAAAATTATATATTCTTTGATTTGCTTACATTTTTAATTGGAAAATATATATATGGAAAAACATTTTTTGGAAACAGATATTAAGCAATTAAAAAAAAGGTTGAAAATAAATTTTGTTCTTTAATTATAGCGCCTTGTTGTACATCACTAAGAATATTCACTTTATTTTCTGTTTTGCAAGAATCTCAAAGATAGTGAATAAATTTGTTCAGAGGGTAAATCCACTTCGATGCCCCTATCAACAAGTAAATTCTGCTGTTTTTCAGTTGCGGTACGTTTAATTTTTAGAGCCGAACAGTTTCAGCTGGCAGCCAGCAGCAGTAAAGTCGTTCAGCTTGAAAGTCCAATTCACTCGCCTAATTGCAATAACCAAAAGTAATTATTCGAGCAGCTACCAAAGTGAAATTAGTCGAAGATCGGTGGTGTGCACACGAGAGTGTGTCAGTGTCGGCAGTGGAGCATAAAGTGCCAGTGATAATTTGCCTAAGTAACTGTTAAACAGCAGATTATATCTAAATGGTATATTTATTCTCCAACTTCGATGCATTTCAGATGGAGAGCACCTGCGAAGGCCACTGCCAGAGTCTGCAGGATTTGCTGGAGCAGTCTGCCCAGCAACTGGAGGATCGGGACAAGCGTTGTTTGCAACAATTGCTGCAGTGCGTCCAGCAACTGGACCTGGATGCCAAGATGCCAGGCGATCAGGTGTGTATAAGCCCTTCTAGCATTGAGCTAATTTTACTTGACGTTTAAAACTGAATTGTTAACCCGAATATAACTTTTGTCTGAAAGTCACCTCATTCTCCCCATCTCTAAATATAAATCATATTTCATTATCATGGCTACCTCAGAAATGTCTGTCAGTTAATCGTAGAAAACACAACGTAGACATATACAATCTATATACAAAGATACTGATACCAAACTTCTTCCTTTTTCTTTAGTTGTTTTAACCAGCTTAATGCAAATTTCGGACTAAGAAAAATCGCTTAAATTAAAGTTTTGTTTTATTTGTTTGCTATACAGAACCGGACGGAAACTCCGCGGAGGCACAACCCAACTCAAAGTCACAACAGTCACAATCAGAATCACAGGATCGTAGCCACTGTTCAGCCGTATAGTAACTGTGCCACGCCCACCACTCCGCCCACGCCCAGCAAGAGGCACTGCAGCCAGGTGAGCTCGTGGCAGAGCAGCAGTCTGAGCGAAAGTGGAGTGTTCGTTGAGTGCGACCTGCCTTCGAATCCAGTGAGCCATCCGCATCTGCAGTTCTACCAGGAGCGATTGGAGCAGTTGGAGGGCAAGCTACTGATCTACGAGAGCAGTGGTGAGACGCAGGCCCGCCACTTGGCCCAGAGATTGCAGAGGGAGTTGCAGTTGGAGAAGGATCTCAAGGAGCTGGGCGACCGGGTGGAGCAGCTAATCGATCAGAACGCCCAATTGGAGGAGGCCAAGTGCGAGTTCGAGGAGGCGGAGAACGACACGCGACTCCATCTGCAACGAAACGAGGTGGAATTGGAAATACTTCGCCAGCGCAACGTGGAGTTGGAATTTGGCAAGGAGGCGTTGGGCGCCAAGTATCAGGATTGCAGGGCAGAGGTACTCATTCTGCGAGAGGACCTCGCGGCAGCAGAAACCCAGTTGGAGCACCTCCAAACGGAACGAAAGCAGGCCAGAAAGGAGCTGCAAGATCTGCGAAGATCACTGCCTTGGCTACTGATCTGTCGTTTGTTATCGTTGGCCAAAATGGGCAACAGCATTTCGTCGCCGGAGGCCAGTCCTCGACTCTCCTCGGGCTATGACTCTGCAGGGCCAGGAGGTCTGGAGTCCAATGCCAAATTGCACACAGAGCACTTTGCAGGATATGCCGAACCGGGCGAGGGTCGTGAGATCAATTACCTCAAGGAAGAGGTCAAGAGCCTGCGAGTACAGCTGAAAGAGCTGAATGCGCGCCACTATGAGGCCATGGAGACGGCTGATTCCCACTGGGTGGATCTGGAGCAGCAGTACAAGGAGCGCGAGGAGGCCTACCAAGCGAAGGAGGCCAGTCTCAAGCAGAAGATAGCCCAGCTGCAGGATTGCCTGAGGGAGGATTCCCGGGCGGCCAGCGAAAAGATCCTGCAGCTGGAGGAGGGCGAACAGGCGTTGAAAACCTGCCTGGTTCGGATGACCAAGGAGCATCGGGATCTGCTAACCGAGAATCACACTTTGCAATCCAGCATGGAGAGCGTGATGGCCAAGATGGAAATGGAGGCGGAGCACAAGATGCCCCTGACGGAGGCACTGGAAACCGAGAGGCGAAGGTGTCAGGCCCTCATGGATGACCTGAGCTTTGCCAAGAAGGTGCAACAAAACACCGAGGATCAGCTGAGACAGGAGACGGATGCCCTGCGCACCCAGATCTTCGACATCAAGAAGGAGTACCTGCACATCGAGGTGACCAACAGCGAGCTGAAGGAGGAGGTGGGCACGCTGGAGAACAAGATCCGCCAGATGGAGACGCAGATGAGGGACTCGGAGGAGCGGGCCCGCTGCCTGGAGGACGAGCTGCGCACCAAGGACGAGCAGTGCCAGCTCATGGAGCGCAAACTGGGCGTCATGCCCGAGGGCTACAGTCTGGCCGATGAGCTCTACGACAGTCCTGCCAAGCGGGCCAAAAAGGACAAAGTGCCGAGTCTGCAGGCCGCCAGCCAAGGATTGGGCGTGGCCCTGCTCGACCTGGAGGTGAGTCGGGTAGCCATCACATACTGAAGTGAATCCTTATCCTTATCTCTGCTTTCGATTACAGGGCCGTGACTTCGATCTGCCCCTCCACAAGGACTTCCAGGCCATCGCCTGCAGCGTGAAGCATCTGGCGGACACCCTGCTCTCCCAGAGTCCGTCCGAGGTGAGTCAAGTCAAGAGCCCGGAATCAGAAGGCACCAGCTGGGCCACGGCCCTGGATGCCTCATCAGCTAGGTTAAGTGGGTCAGGACTGCCGACTGTAACAAGTCGAGAAAGTCAAGTAGGTCAAGTAAGTCCAGAAGGTCATGAAATTCAGGAAGGTCAAGAAAGTCAGGAAAGTCAAGAAAGTCAAGAAAGTCAAGATGGTCAGGAACGTCAGCAAAGTCAGGCCATTCAAGATAGTTCACCAGATCAAGAAGTTTTTTCAAGTGAACCCCTTCTAAGTAGCAAGAAATCTAGTTGTGTAAGTGTCCAGGCATCCACAACCCGGCCAAAGGGCTTTAAAGTGGGCCGATATGCCCAAAAATCTCGACGATCTAGAGGCGGAGCTGATAGTCGCACGAATCTGAAAGTCATTAAGTCACCAGATGACGAAAAGAAAAATATTTCCGAGGTGCCCTCTTCCTTAAGGCAACTGGAACCCGAGAAGCAGGGCAAAAAGCCAAAAACAAAGGTTAAGAAGGGGGAGCAGTCAAGTGCCCTTCGCCATAAGCGATCCATGTTAAGGCGCTTCATCTTCAGGCGCATGTACCGTGCTCGCGCGAGATCTGCGAATCAATATCCGCTCCAGCAGAGCCTCTCCTGCAACAGTTTCCATTCGGTGTTGTCGGTTCACACGGCTCATTCGACCAAGTCGGTAATCTCCCTGTACTCCCTGCATGCCGAGGTGGTCAATCTGGATTGGGAATCACTGGCCAGCGGGTCCTTTACCCAAACAGAAGACCCGAAAAGTGTGGAGGAGGAGATCCAGACCACGACTGACTGCTGTGAACAGGAGGCCCAAGTTCAGCCGGAATCCGTCGAGTGCGGAGTCCAAGTGGATGTGGGCGTGGAGCAGCGATTGCTGCTGATGCCACTGCGAACCCGCTGCTTCGTTGATCTGCTTCAGGATGCCGTCAATGGGTACTTCGATGTGTCCGCCTTCCGGACACGTCTTCTCCACCTGTGGGAGGATGGAGAGGACTTCCGTGAGCAGCTGGAATTCCTGCAGGACATGTGGACGGAGAAGAAGAACCAGGAATCGCTGGAGAGCTACGAAGGATTTGTGGCAGCTCTGGGCTGTGTGAGGAGTTTGATGTTGGCCCTCAAACCCGCAACTTCAGCGCTGCTGGACCAGATCGAGCAGCGTATCCATGCTCGACTCGTGCTCTTCCACAATCAGAAGATGGAGTCGGAGTTCTGCTGCACCATCTACATTCCCGTAGAGCGAAGCAACTCCTTGTTGTTCAGGGCTCCCAAATGAATGCCCCTTTTCATGATCTCAATAACGATGTAAATACTCCATAAATACTCCATAAATACTATAAATGTAAATAATCAAGTGGCTACTGATTACTTTTATTCTAATGGTCTGACATGTTAAAGAAACTTAGGTTCATCTATGTTACTACTACATAAATACTATAGATATAATTACCAAGTACAAACTGGATATTTTTTGGTTTTTATGAGTGTTGCCAAATGTTGGATCTTTAGTTAGATCTTTGAATTGATTTTCGGAAAATCTTCTTCTGTGCGCAATTACTATAAAGTTTCAGATGGTTATTTACTTTCTAGAGATTTCCTAGATCTGTAGTGCCTTGAGCTTAGTTTCCCTTTGCATAATCACTTCTGAATTCGTTTGAGTAAGTTCTTTCCCAGATTTTTCCAAATTTGTTATTGCTGAATGCATTATGTTTGGCGGAAACGATGATGTGGATACATTCTACGATTGCCGAAGTGACGAAGAGTGTTCGCCGGAATCGGTAGTGGGTGGTGGTGATGAGGTTATCTGCAAACAGGCTCCCCGATTTGATGATCCCGTGGAGATTCGGGCCGTGCTGGAACGAGCAGCCACTGCCACACAGCGGCTTTTAAGGTGCTATGGCGGCACCGATTTTTGTGTGCCCCCTCGTCCAACGATGACCCGGTTCTACCCGGCCACACTGGAGGTCAGTGCCCGTCTCCACACCGATGACAAGTGTCCCTGTCCCAAGGACAGGCAATGCAAGTTGATTGGCGACCCGGTGACCCTCAAGCTGCCCATCGAACTGAATCCGGAGAGCGGCCAGGTCAAGGTGAACATCTTCAAGCCGAAGTCAATTGGCACCTTCTGCGGCTGCAATGCACCCAAAAATCAGAGCAGACCCAAGAGCAGGAGGTCCAGTGTGCGATGGAGCACTCAGGAACACGTTTGCTCCGATGGCCAGGAGCCGAATCAAAGCTCGTGAATTCCACTGATTGCAAATACCATTCCATGTCCCCAAAGTGATTGCTTCTCTTCAAAATTTATTAACCATTAAATTGAGCAATGTTTAGAACAAATTTTTATGTCGTTCTTGGGTTTTTTCTACAACATTAGGCAGTTCTGCCACGTTGGTAATTTTTTAGAATTTACTTTTGTATAAGACCAAAAGTAAAAAGATTGTGAAAATGTGGAGTGCAATAGCTCGTTGGGCTCGTTTTATAATTGTAATTCCAAAAGCCGGGAAACTTTTGTATTTCAATTAATTTTCGAAAAAATAATGTCTTAAAAAAAAAACAAAAACCAAAAAAATAAATGGTTTATGAATCGTTTGGATGACATTAGCTGTATGAACGTATGTGTTGTTTGGGCAGTGAGTCATATTTTAGCCATTTTAGAATAAGTTCGTATTTTGCTAAAAAGCTTTAAAATAAAATGCTAGATTTAAGATTTTAGTAGAAACCTCGCAATGTAAATTGCCCATTGTATACTTAAAAATCAAAAGTCAACAAATTTTTTTAAGTGAAATCATAGGAGGTCGTACCAAAGTAAACCAATCCCAAATGTCACTTTTCGGTCCGTCTGGATTTAGTAATTTAGGCCCACTCGAGCAGGCAATACACACTTAAAAATTGAGAGTTAAAAACTTTGTTTGGGCAGACAAGTTCGAATCGTTCAACGTTATGGACGAGGACCTCGCCAATCCGAGCATGGATAGAAGTGACTTTACTCGTGGGGGTCGCTTCGTCAGCCAGAGCACCATCACCTTGGCCCCCGGCATGGACTCCACCCGACTGCTCTTCATGGGCGACCACTTCCAGCAGCAGCCTAGTGAGCAGGACATCTTCTTCGATTGCCTCGGCCCGGCGGAGGATTCGCCGCGAGAGGGCCGCAGTGCCACCAGTCGTTGCAAATTCGACGATCCGGCTGCGATTCGGGACGCCCTGGAACGGGCGGCCAATGCTACCCAGATGCTGCTCAAGAATTTCGACAACTCCGGCGGCTGGAATCGCCCGTGTGCCGTCACCCTGGAGTTGACTGCTCGACTGGTGGATCCGAAGAAGAGTCGCTTGGGATGTCCGCTGCACGGCAAGCCCGTCACTGTCCAGATGCCGCTGGAGTTCAATCCGCAGAGCGGCAAGATGGCCAGCTGCCAGCAGAAGCATCATCCGCCGGCCGGCCAAAAGCATCGCAAGGAGTCCATCTGCCAGTGCCGCTCTGAGCAGCGGATGCGTTCCGCCCCGAGGGCTCCACCCCAGGCCAGCTCAGGTAAATCCGCTAGCGAACACATGCGTAATTGCGAGTCCCATCAGCTGACCGAAAGGTCCGCCAGCACGACCTACATGGGCAGCTGTGGGGACTCAACCTCACAGTACTACCGCTGCACCAACGCCACTTGTGGCCATCGGTACGATCGGGAGACGCGGGAGGTGATCTCCATATGTTACCTGCCGCTGCCGCTGCCGGAACCCGAACCCGAACCCGAACCCGAGCCGGAGCCACTGCCAGAGCCACTGCCTTCGCTCACACCGGTTGAGGAATCGCTGGAGGATCTGGAGGCCGGGGAGCGCACCAAGGATCACTTGAAGATCTATGCGCCAGAGCCCGAAAAGGAATACCTCACCGAGGAGTCGGACGACATGCTGTCTAGCGTGTCGGAGGTACCAACTCCACCTCCGGAAGATCAACCGAGGACCAGCAAGCGATACTACATGGCCCGGCCACAGAACAAGGAGTTCTCCAACTGCTCACCATGCCGCTTCGATCCCAGTCCCATCATGGACGAGGATGGCAACGTGTTCTGTCCCGGCAACTGTGGCTGCTGCATGTGTCCGTGGCGGAAGCGCTCCTTTGACCAGAACCAGGATCACGTCAACGTCAAGGTCTGCCGCTGCGTCCAGCGCGGCACCATCTTCACCAAGTTCGAGGATCGGGAGGTCTGCAGCCAGGCCTCCTACTTTGACTTCTGTCCGTGCCGGGAAAAGGCCGAGGCCAAGTTCCTGGAGCTCTACCATGCCGAGATGTGGTCCCAGCCGGAGTTAACGCGCGGACGCGAGATCCAACTCACTGAGATCAAGGAACTGCTCGTACCCCCGAATCACCCATTCCAATAAAATGTGTTTGCTTGCCCATCGAATCAAATCGAATCGAGTCGTGTGTGTTCTAACCGGGGAATCGGGACGAAGCGGTTTGCGGTATCGGTTCGGTATCGGTTATAGCGCTCATCCTTGCGAGCCTTAACCGCAACAACATCGTTAGCGACGTCGGCTTCTTAAACTACATTTACAACTTAGCTTAAACAATTTCTAGTTTTTTTAAATTTAACTTTTTTGCATTTTATACAAATATTTTGAATGAATATGTATCTTTAAACAGTCGAAAATTACAACAATATTATGTTTCAGACTTTCCGCTTAAATCGTATATTTTATTTTATAACTTTGGTATTGTTAATTAAAATTAAAGTCGCATTTGATCTACGGAAATATAATAGTCTTGGAATCAATCTATAGTGACGGTTGATTTTTGTTACTTACATTATTTCAGTGGTTAAATCGCGATGATTCGATATGTCGATGGTCTAGCAGTTACGTTTCAAATTTTAATATGGGGACGAAGCAAAAAAGAAATATTAGGCAAAATGTTTGCAATTTATGACCAAAAAAAATATTAAGCAATATTAGTAATTTTTAATATTGAAATGGAAAAGTCCCAACAGGTTCAATATGTATAGAGTGAGATGTAAACCAAGTTCTGGGGAATCAACCATTTCAGACAATCCCTAATTAAACATTGTTCTGACTTCTCCCCCTTTTTTCTCACCCATAGAATGCCCGGCTCTGATGTACATGCAGCATGAGCGACAATCCGACGACAACAACCCCAACTCCCGCCACCAACAGACCGAGCAATCCTACCTGAAAACCCACTCGAAGCCGTCGAAGTGGCAGTCCCAGCCATCTGACATCGAGGATCCCCATGCCAAGCCCTCGCAGACGGAGGCCTCCTTTCTGCGGAAGCACCACACACCCAAGTACCCAGTATCTGAGCCGGAATCGAAGTTGGAGAAGGATAAGGAGGAGGAGGGACAGGGGCCCACCTGCTCGTGCAAGGCCAAGAGATCAAAGTCCGCCGATCCGCCGGCGGTTAAGGTCCACGTGTGCCAGTGCCACCAGGAATCGCTTCCCTGTGGCGTGAGTCGCAATGACAAACTGCCAAGCCAAAAAGTTCCCTGCTCAGTGAGGACTTCGGTGACGGAACAAAGTGCTTTCACCTCGTTCAAGAGTGCCCTGACTGCCTGCACCAAGGAGCTCCTCGATCCCTGCACCTGTGGCTCCATGCCGCCCTATTGGGCCAACCAGAGCAATGTGGTGAGTGCCCCATCGTATAGCCGGGCCTCGGATCCCAACGGATCCTCCTTAAAAACCAATTTCACCCTGACTTCTGGTGGCAACAAAGTCAAAAGCAAACACTCGCGTTCCAAGAGCCTATCCAGTATGCTCGATAAGTCGCATCCACCGAACCAAAGTGGCGTGACCTGGTTGTCTGCCCTCAAGGATCCGGATCCGGAGATTGAAGTTAGTCCCATTGAACAGCCTGCCAGAGCTCCCTGTACATGCAATGCCACGCAGACGTCTAAGGTGCCCTCGATGGTGTCCTATCCAACGAGCCAGGCGGCGAACTATCGCAGCTTGTCAAGTGGTCATCCATGCAATCAACCCTCCTTTGGAGCGGATACCGAGACCTCGGCCACCACACGGTCTCAGTCGATTGTGGGCAAGATCACCTGCCTGTGTGCCTCGGAACAGCAGTCCACCAAGGGTTTTGTGTCCGCCCTGGCCGATGTTCCATCCCATCTCAAGGATCAAAAAGAGAATCACGAAAGCAACTTGCAGCCCTGTGCCTCCGCCAGGATCCAACATCCATCCGGCTTCTCCCAGTTCGAGGAATTCCAGACATCCCAATGTGGCCCCAGTAACTCATTCCGCTCTAGGAAAGTGAGCCTCAAATCGCATGAGAAGTTCTGTGACTGCGACAAGTCCTCCGAATCCGATTCCAGTCTCATCGAGACCAGTCTGCACACCCACAGAAGTCTCTCTGGCGGCAGTTGCCTGTGCAATGACGATGAACCCCCTCCGGAGGATCTCTCTAAGTCACCGTGTGTTAACAGGGAATGCCAGTGCTACCTGAAGGATGATATGCCAGAAATGCTGAGTGCCCAGGAGGGCTCGGATTTTCAGACACCACTAGATCCCTGTGGAAATAAGAGCAACCCCTGCAGCACGCGAAAACAGCGCATTCTTGAGTTGATGGATAAGCTTACAAGTCCTAGTTGCGATTGCGGCGTATCTCGTCCCTGTATGATACAGCAGCTCTTCCGGGAACTCACGCTTCTCCTAAGATCCGAAAAAGAGACTGCAGTTGCACCGGAGGACGAACCATCGCCGCCTTGTCTGCAATTCGATGAGTGCTGTAAGGCTGAACATGACCGGAAGGGTGGAGAGGAGGAGCCCGGCGAGAAACCCAAGACGAAGAGGCAGCTCCGGCGATTGGAGTGCTTCCACCAGCTGGAGGATTACCTGCGCAAATGCTTCCTGCCGCCAGGCGAACCGGAGATCCCCGAGACCGATATCTACGCCTTTGAATTGGACCCGGATTTCCCGCCAGATGCGGAGACCCAAAAGTGCGTCATTCAGCCGTGCCACCTATCCTCAGAGCAGTTCTTCGACATCGGAGACCCACGAACCTGCTCGGGAGATGGCCTAGATGGCGATGTATTCCTCGACTGCGAGGGCGATGAGGATGAGAAAAAGGATTGTGATTGCAAGGAGGAGTCGGATCTTTGCAAGCAGTTGAAAGCGTTCTTCGACAAGCAGTTGCAGGAGGCGGACATCAATGTGGAGGGCAATGAGTCGGAACAGAAGGCCCACAGCATGACCCTGAAAGAGATCTGTGATGGCGCCACGAACACTGTGCCCAGCGAGAAGGAGGACAAGAGCGAGCAGATATGTCCATTCGCCGGCATGGTGTCCTGCTCTCCGTGGACCAAGGAGGAAACGGACTGGGCGGCCTATCCCTACAACATAGATCCCTGTGCCGAGCCAGAACCACCGACGCCGGCGCCGAAGATTCCCTGCACTGGTCTGCTACCCGAAGGAGCTCTGTCGCCCGAACTGAAGAAACTCTGCGAGGAGCTCCTACGCAAGGCTCTCAAGGACTGCGGACTATGTCCTGGCGGTGATGAGACGGCTCTGCACTCCTGTGAGGACACACCCGAGCCTTGCGACACATGTCCGACGGAGTGCGAGGAGGGCGAGGAGGGCGATGAGGAGTGCCCGGAGGAGTGCCCCGAGGAGTGCCCGGAGGAGGCGCCTGAGCAGGGATGCCTCTGCTGCCACTGCCGCGCCCTCATCTGCGACGACGAGTGCAAGACGGTTTCCAAGACCCTTCGCTCGGCCATGTGCGATCCAATCTGCGAAATGGTAAGTCAAACCTAAGGGAATCCATATAATAATCTTTTTTAATTCTGAACTTTAAATAACAAAAACAACATTTACACTTGAAGGATTCTAATGTTTTTCCAGAAATACTTTATATACTGAATATAATTTAAAATAATCTTATTAATAGTTTCCCTTTTATAAGATCGATTTTCATAAAATTCGTCAGTTTTGAAAGTTGTTCCAATAAAAACACTATATATATTTTTTTGTATTTTTCAGAAATACTTTATAGACTCGATGATTATCGATCTGCATGCCATGGACTGTGTGCTGGGCAACAAGAAGGCAAAGCCTAAGGTAGGTTATCCACTGACTAAAACCCATCACATATGTTAAACAAAAACCTCCAATGTATATATATTTTCTAGGATGTCAAGGCAAATGATGCAACAAACAGGGCAGGGCCGGGTGATAGTTTTCCGGTTACAATTAGTAGTGTTACCCCCTTGGGTTGCACTGCTCTTTTCGTCAGATGGGATGTGGCGGACTGTCGTGCTATTGCAGGATATGAGGTGAGAAACTTTGCATACAAAACTCAGCAAATTCCTTTGAAAACCTTTTATATTCCTCAGATTTATGTGGATGGGCATTTGACAAACAGATTCTACAGTTTTCGGCACGAGGCCGGAGTGATAACCGATGTGGAGGTGGCGTGTCCCCACCAGATAGTGCTGCGTGCCCAGGCGGTGGGTCAGGAGTTTCCCGGCGAGGGAATGGGCAAGCTATCGAAGGATTGTGGCTGCCGGACGGTGGCCGTTACTAATCCGGAATTGGCGGCCGGGGCTGAGAGGCCGTGGTCGCCCAGTGTCTACTATTATGATCCCAACCAATTCAATGCGCCGTCGGCGGGAGGCGTGCCAGAGTGCTAGTCAAGAATCATATATATACCATATATATATATATATATTTATATATATATATATATATCGAATATCATCGGATATATCACCGTTATCGGAACAAAGGAGTTAGCCGCTCCCTCACATTTTAGCTTGTACATATAGCCTAACGTATATGTAGTGTTTGTTAAGAGTTGTTTTTCTGGACGATACGAATTGAAATTATCTGTATGTAGTGCTTTACATAGTGCCTTAAATCGTAATACTAGTTTTTAAACGGATATCAATGCATTGTTAAGGACTTGAAAGCAGATTAATCCATTCAGATGGTACCGTGTTAGTTGGCAAAAACCAAATTCACTTTAAATAAATGAATCTCATTGTTAGAGATATCACAAAAAGTAAACACATTGAATTTTAATTAAAGATGATGAGTTTAAAAAGGTAATGTTGCCAAAAAGTTTTAATTTAAAAGCTGAAAGATTTGTAGTCCTTATTCCAATGCTTCATTTATACAAAACTTTTCTTGATAATTTTGATTTTCTATATTGCTTTAATAGTAAAATGACCAAAACACCTGCAATTCATGAAATTTTGATAATAACTCATTGCTTAAGCTGTTGAAAAGTATAAAATGTATTTATTTTATTTAAATAGTCGACATATGAGGAGCTAAAAATGTCTGGTGGAAAAGGAGGGGGAAGTGCTGGTGGAGGAGGCGGAGGGGGAGGAGGAGGTGGTGGTGCAAGTGGTGGGCGTGGCGGTGATGGCGGAGGTAAGAATGGAGGTCGTGGAGGAGCTGGAAAACCAGAAAATAAAGAAAACTCAAGTCAGGATGAGAACAAAAAAGATAATGAAAGTAAGAAAAATCCAAGAGATGGTCAGGATGGAGGATCTGGACGTGGTGGCGATGGAGGTGGTAAACAAGGAGGACGAGGAGGAGGCAAGAAATCAGAAAACGACGATGGCAAAGAAAACCAAATTAAAAAATAGAAAGGGCACAAGAGTAATCATTTATTTGAAAGGTTCTATTTGACACCTAAAATATAATACTCAAATTCTAACTATAGGGCCCGAATCGACTCTCCATGTTCTGGAATATGTACGAACAGCTTTGGTCATCATAGGCTGGCTCAACCTTATCGGCCGTAATGCTGGCCAAAATCAGGAATTTGGTTTGGGGGCTCTGCGAATTGAGAAGTGATAAGGCTTCAAAAAAATGTTATTTCGATCAAGTGAACTTTGCTACCTCTTTGGGTTCGTTGTGCCTCCACAGATCGTTGGACTCCAGATAGTTCTTCAGAAGGATGCGCCACTGCCAATAGTTCTCACGGCCATGTAGCTTGGGAATATCGTGAAAATTCAACTCCATGTGACCCATTTCGTTTCACTTTGCCGCACGGACTGAACTGATTAAAAGCAAACAAGTTAACGCTGCACCTGATATGAAAGCTCGAGAGCTTTTCCTATCGGTGACCTAACATTTGCCCAGTTTAACAGCTCTAGACGGGGATTTAGTGTTAGATTGAATGGAATGTTGTGGGGCGTGAATCATTAAACAAATTCTAGTGCCAAGTTGCTAACAGTTTTCCGGGGCGCAATGTGAAATGTGACTGGGGAAAGTGTCAAACATGAATCAGCCCCAAATTGTAAGCAATTAAACCATTAAGTTATTAGAATCAAATGTAATAGCTAAAAAATGTGGAGCAGAGCCAAATTGTTCGTTAACAATGGGGAACATTCAGCTGAATGAAATTATCGAACCAGAGAGTTGTCAACACAACGCATCTAGAAAATAATTTATTTGGTACTTTACAGAAATACTCTTTTTAAGAGGTAAAAGTCTACCTGCCATCGTAAAGTTCGTTTCATAAATTCAATAGTTAGAAAATGTAAGGTGTGTACAAAAATATTCTAATTTATTTATTTTAAAAATATACTATTAATATTTAAATATGAAAACGTTTTTGAATAGGAACAAGGATATTATTATTTATTTACATTTATTGGTTATATGTACAGTTTTACCACCTGCTGTGAAATTAATAATATTTTAATAATTTGTAGGCGTCTTTTGGTAAAATGGTAACAAAAAATTTGAGAAGGCATACATATAAAAAGGTTTTGTAAAATGCATTATGACTACTGAAGAAAACTTAACCCAAAAGTAAGTATATACAAAAATCTTACAATTTCAAAGTAATAAATTGCTACAATATTTTAGCTTTCAAGAGGTTTCTCTTTCTTCAGTAAATTTTAATATTAACAATAAAATGCAACAATGCTTAAGCTTTAGAGAGATATGTATTTTTCTGTACTTTTTTCTTCAGGAAAAAAAGAGTAAGTGCACTTCGTGGTGTTGCAATACATTTACCCCCTAATTTGATTTTTATGATTGCTTTTTTTGTGACTCTATGCATCGCGGAAAATCCCTGAACGGAGGAGGCCATTCGTCAGGCAATTTATTGGGAGGAGTGATGGCTTGTGAGCTCACATCGCTATAAAGCCCCTCAGAGCTTCGCCGACTCACTTTAGTTGTCATCGGCTATGTCTCCGTTCGGTCGGATGTGGTGGCTGCCACTGCTGCAGTGGCTGACCATGGGAATAGGATCGGGAGCGCACGCCTGGAGCTTTGGACCAGCACAACCGGATGCCGGCCAGGATACCGGACCCCAACCCAGCGATGTGGGCAGCACCGCGAACCACACGAGTAAGTGGCTCTAATTACCATTTGGGATATTCCGGATTTTATCGCCCATCAGTACTCACCAGGCAGCTGATTGTGGGTACCTTACTGCCACCGCAAGTACCGCAGGGCACGTGGCCACCAGTGCCCTCCATTGTGAATCCCGGCACCACTAGCTATTGCCAGTGCGTTCCGCCAGGATCCTGTGCCAATCCGGTGCCCACTGCACCCAGCGATGGCAGTGGTCAGCTGGACATCAGAATTGTCAATACTGGAGGATATGTAAGGACGCACATATTATTGCGGTCAAAATGATATTAGTTTTTTATATTTTTATACATAAAATTACATAAGAATCCACATTTATAATATGTTTAATAAGTTAAAACATTTTAAAACAAATTTAAAAGTATTGTAGATCAGATTTAAAAAACATTTTTTAGTCCAATACAAATTGCAGATGAACAAGGGTAAAAAACCATTTACTATAGTATATTGAAAAGAGCTTTTAAAACAATTATTAAAAGTTTTAAATTTTCTTAAAAATCTAAAACAAATTGAAAAGTTTTTTAGACCACATTTTGTTTATTGGTAAGCAAGCATGAAATTAATTTAAAGAAAAGTCGACTTTAATTGTTTGTATTAAAGAAATTTGCATTATCCCACTACTATAATTTTCACCGCAGCTGTATATACTCTATGAAATATATTATGTAATAACTAATCCCTTTTAGCCCTCAATTCCGAGCACATCTGCCACGTTGACCTGCAGCTATGGCTTGGTGGCCTGCTGTCAGGCGGGAAGCTATCAGTGTGGCCGAAGGTTTCCACCTCCGCCCGGGGCCTCCGCCGCAGGAGCTGGCCAAGCCAGTTTTGGGGCATATCCTTGGCAGGCGGCACTACTAACCACCGCTGATGTTTACCTGGGTGGCGGAGCACTGATCACCGCTCAACATGTCCTTACCGCCGCCCATAAAGTCTACAATTTAGCGTAAGTTTAGCGTTTTTTTTTGTAATCCATCTTATATCTTATGACAATTTTTATAGGCTCACCTCATTTAAGGTGAGACTGGGTGAATGGGATGCCAGCAGTACTAGTGAACCGATTCCCGCCCAGGACGTGTATGTCTCCAATGTGTACGTGAATCCCTCGTTCAATCCCAACAACCTGCAGAACGATGTGGCCATCCTGAAGCTGTCCACTCCGGTTTCGCTGACCAGCAAATCCACGGTGGGCACTGTTTGCCTGCCCACCACCAGTTTTGTGGGTCAGCGCTGCTGGGTGGCCGGGTGGGGCAAGAACGACTTTGGACCCACTGGCGCCTACCAGGCCATTCAGCGGCAGGTGGACGTGCCACTGATACCCAATGCCAACTGCCAGGCGGCGCTGCAGGCCACTCGGCTGGGCGCCTCCTTCGTCCTCAGTCCCACCAGTTTCGTCTGTGCCGGCGGCGAGGCTGGCAAGGATGCCTGCACCGGCGATGGGGGCTCGCCGCTGGTCTGCACCAGCAACGGGGTCTGGTATGTGGTGGGTTTGGTGGCCTGGGGCATCGGATGCGCCCAGTCTGGAGTTCCGGGGGTCTACGTCAACGTGGGCACATATCTGCCCTGGATTCAGACCACTCTGACGCTGTAAATCCCAGTAGTTGTTACCAATAAATCGTATTATATTTTAGTTTCTGAATTTAATTAAGGCGCATTCAAATAAGTTTTTATATTTCTTCATTTTTTTAGTGAAATATTTCAACTTTACCAAATATATGATGAAGTCATCTTCATCATAAAAATTTACTGACAATTTTTCGTATAGTTAGATCTGAACAAAGTAATCTCGGCCAAATAAATAATCTAATCACTCAACATATACCTCTAATCCCATATTTACATCTTAATCATTTGTTTACTAACCAAATACAAGTTTAAAATAATTAAAATCGTTGATCCCAAAAATAAAAGGTTAGCCATTTTGGAGTACAGAGTATATCATAAAAACAAAATATTTTATTCTGTAGATTTTGATAATAACAAAGTAAATTCGTGAAATAAATTGTCTTTTCCTTATAATTTAGTATCAATTTTTTTTCGCATTTCATAATTTTTCCTAACCAAATAAATTGGAATGTTATTTAATTTAATAAAATCGTAGATTCCGAAAGTAGAAGTTTAAACGTTATTGGATTGCAGTCAATGACTATAGTCAGCTGTCAATTTGAGGAGTGATCAGATTTTGTGAACACGTGGTTAATAACGCAATCCCAGGAGTTCGTAGAGGGGAATCTCCACCTCAGATACACTGGCACTGGACACCTCGAAGTCACCGCTCTGCAGCAGATACTGCGGTCGTTCCAGCTCCGGATGGGTCAAATAGAAGTCTATCAGGGCACTGGTACTGCGCAGGTGGGTGATGCCCTTGAAGATCTTCTCGCGGGTCAGCAGCTCCTCCGGATAAACGGTCTTGATGGCGGTGTCATTCGATCGCTTTTGCCAGGGGCGATCCTTCAAAGGCACAGTGCGTCCAAAGGCACTAAGCATGGGTTTCTGGTTAACGCGGGAAGCGTGATCGTTGATATGCTTCTCGTACTTCAGCTCAATGGCCATCTGAAAATGTTATACTTAAATTTATCTCTGGAATATTTATTTCTTAACATGAATAATTTTACAACAACTATGACTGGCTCTTTGGAGTAATTGTTTTGGGTTTACTCACATGTGGTTTGTTCCATTTGTCGGCAACAGTCTGCGCTATGGCATTAACCTCCTTGGGATCTGTCTTAACAGAGGCCAGCAAAGTGCGATCGCCTTTGATGGAGAATAGGTTCTTAACCTTCTCAGGAGTCAGGTTGCTCTCCACGGTTCCAAAGGAATTTAACCACTCGACAAAGCGTTCCGCCGACTGTTAAAATGGGATTTAAATATTTGGTAAATATATTTAATAAAAGTTGTTTCCCAAATCCATAGTTATAATCGTATTGCACAAATTATAAAATTATCAACATTAAAACCTTGTTAATCGATTTGATTTTAAAAAATTAAATTAAATTTGCTCAAACTTAAAAGCTTAAGCCATAGAATCACAAGTAATAAAAATTTAACTGTTTTTGTAGTAAATAAAATCTTAAAAATAAATAAATTATGTTAGTTTTCTATTAATTTTTTTCGAGGAAAGATTACTGACCGCATCCATGAGATTCTCGGCCTGCTCGTCCAGCGTCACCATGGAGTAGTTTTGGCCGGGATGTTCGACGCGGCTCTGCCAGCTGACCCTTTTATCACGCGGGGCACAGAGGAACTTGGCATACCAACTGGTTTTATCCACTTTGCGATGGGTATGACCCACTGGTTCGTCCAGTTTTAAATCAAACTTCTCAAACTCATGCTCCATGCGGACAATATCCGAGTGATCGCTCTCGTTGAAGTACTCCTCCACTTTCTTTCGTCCAATATCGAGGTGCTATCAAAGGAATTCCCGACATAAACTTTAATTTTATAGAAGTTCTAGAGCGTTGCAGTACCCACCACAGGCTCATCCTCTTCCTCGCTCCTCTCGGAGCTACTGGCGCTCATGTAGTCCTCGGGCCGCAACTCCTGCATCTCGTCCCGAATGTAGATGTCATCATCGGACTTGGAGTAGTCGTAGTTCTGAATGCGCTTGACCCTTTCGCGAAGTTTTGGTGGCAGCACCAGGGAGTAGTCGATGACGGGGATGCGCGGCTGGAAGCGACAGGCGGCGGCGAACTCCACATCCTCGATGGCCGCGTTCCAGTAGTCCTTGCCCTTCAGCCCGTTGCGAGAGGTCAGAGTGGAGAAGCCACTCATCCCGGTGCTGGAGGATCGCTCCTTTTGCATGAGCTGAGTCTTCACCTCCGTCGACTTCTTCTTCAGTGGGGTGGTCAAATTCGGAACTATGCTGGAGTTCAGTCGCAATGTGCGGGTAACCATCGGCTTGTTGGCCCTAGACACAATCGAGTGACGGACGGTCGACCCATACTGGTGATCCAACACGGACATTTCTGCGACTGCGGATGGAACAAGAAATAGGTAACGAAACTGACACAGATGGAGTATCGGAATTTTCGTTCAGTTTGTTTGTTCAATACGAGTTTCATATTGTGTCGTTCGTTGACAACCAGAGCTTGTAGGTTAGTGTACCACACTGAGAGTTATTAGATTCGTTAGGTTCGGAAAATAACATATATGTATGGTTTTTTTTAATACAAAATACCCAAAATAATACACTGCACAAAAATATATCTTTCTCCAGATTTTGCAAAAGTGGTACAAATACATCAAAATTAAACTTTGAATGCCAATCGGTTGGAAATTACATGATGTACTTGTTTGACAACTTTGCAAGACTTTTATAAAAATTTTCTATCGTTTTTAAGTTATCTCATATGAGAACAAGGAATCTATTTACTTTTAAGGTCTTATTTACTACAATAACAGTTCAATATTTATTATGGATAATTTAACAGGTTTCAAATTAATCCTTTAAAGTATATAATAATATGTTTATAAATATAAGTCACCCGAAAACACAAACAATCAAAATATATACAAAAACAGGTAATTTAATTAAATGCCAAAAAAAGTTAGAGTTTCAGTTATTTCACTTGAGAGATGGAGTCACTTCAAATAATCCGATTACATAACTGCGTTTAAGGTGTCGGTGCCTTGTGGGGTTAAGAATTAAGTGAAGCCATTATGGCAATAATTGCGCATACGACCCGTTGGTGCGGTGCGAGCATAAAGCCTGCCAAAGGGACGCAAAAAAAACACAAAAGAGGCACATACAAACGCGACTGCCATAAAATACGCACTCATGCATACATATATAGGTAAGCGGAGGCAGGTTAAATTTATACGAAAAGCCAACAGGTTGCAGGGCCCATCTGTTCTGGCTTTCAATGTGTGCACACTCACGGATGGGCAGACACAACAGGCACACACACTCCCAAAGGCAGACACCTCTGGCCATTTGATGCTCGCTTAGCTGCGTCCCACTTATAAACAAGCCACTCATTTGCAGCCGATTCCCAAGGGACTAATCCCCCAAAAAACAAGAAACCCCTCCTGATTCTCCTTTTTCAAGTCGTGAAATTGGCAATTTTATGATTTTGGCGCAATTTTGTAAACTTTAATAACACAAAACGTACAAAAGGGAAATGATAAGCAGCAAGATTTAAGATTATTGTTTATCATTTCTGAATATTTACTTATTTTAAGAAAACAAGAAAGAATCTAAGAATCAAAGTTTTAAATTAAGAGTTTAATTTTTTTCTTTTTATAGCTATTCATAGTTAATAAAATGCTGGCTAAAAAAATTTGAAGAAATATGTTAAATTATAAAATAACATTAAATGTTTCTTACCGATATTTAACATTTTTATAATTTTCCATGCATAAACAAAATTTGTCTGTGGGCATTTCAGTGATTTTTTGTGGCATCCGACTCACCTTAAGCCCTTTCCGTACGTAACCGGAAATGAATCACGTCGCACAAAAACTGAAAATCCAAAAAGGATAAAGAAAGTAAGCGGAAAACCCAGCAAGCGCGAAAAAAAATGCAAGCGGCAAACGACAGAAAGGCAAAGCAACAATTCAGCCATAAAGTCAGTCATGTAAATACTGAGTTCCACTCAAACACACGAATACGAATCCGAATCTGAACCTGAAAATAAAACTCACTCGAAGAGCCGAACGAAACCGAAACGAAAGGGGGCTCGAACGGCGAGTCCGTTGGCGGAGTTCCTTTAGTCCGTCCTCGGCTTTCGAGCGTTATAGTCGCGAGTTCGGATCAAAAGGACACTGGGCGAGTGCAGAGCGCTCAAAGTGGTACCAACAACAAATGCCTCAATATTACAGCCAATGCTAGAAAGTGTTAGTGCTATTTTCGCTTGATTTTAGCCAAGTCGAAAGGCAAATAAGCAGTGTTGTGTAATACCGTGAATTTTATTACTACCATTTAATCATGATTGAACCATTATTTCCTTATTTTATGTGACACACTTTAGTGTTAGTGTTGTTAGTGTTGACTTGGCTGAATGTCCTTGATGTCGCCGCCGAGTCGGAGTTACGCCCTCGTACAAACGTTTGACGCCAATTAAAATGTTTGTTCTTTGATGTTTCCATTGCAGAGAAATCCCAGCGAAATCATAATCAAAAATAAATATATTCTGAAAAGTTAATAAAAAAAAAACAAGATCAATGAACAGAGATATTAAGAGTCGAAATCGTAAGCGAAAGGCGAACCAAGTTTGTAGCATACTTTTTTGGGTTTACGTCATGTTTGTCTACGCGAACCGCCATTTGTGCTTGTGTGCTTGAGTCCGCACACAAACACGCACACCATTATGTCGCCTGTATTCGTGCCTGTCTCTGTCTCTGTGCCTGTGTTTGTGTTTGCATCGGTGTCTGTGAGCCAGAATGCATGCCAATCAGAATCAGAATCAGAATCCTGAGTCCTGAATCCTGAATCATCGACTGTCCAAACATCGTGCATTGCTTTTGTCCGCCTGGGCTAATTAGCTGCAGGTAGCAAGTCCTTGTGCCGTTTTACGTAAGTGTCCTCTCACATCCCCATCCACCTCCACATTCCGCATTCCGCATTGCCGCATAAGTACCCAATTAAAGTTTAAATAATACACACTCTCCTTTAACTAAGTGCCTTGCATTGTCTGTGTGCCGCCTACTCACAAAAAAAATAATGTCACACCTTCGTGCATATCCCTACATATCCTTTCAAAATCCAGTTCATGTCCACCACTCAAATACAGTTATCGACACTCGAGCTTAATTGAGGCATGCTGAATTTAAGTGCATGTTATTTAATTGAATTTTAGTTGTCTTTTTATAATATTTATTTAATTTTCTGTTAGCCAAAAATTAATTTAATTTATTTTTTGTCATTCAAGTTCAACCAGGACTGAAATTTATATGAATCTCTTTTTTAAGTGCTGCATTGCATTTGATTGAAATGAATTTAATTAAAACTTTAGTGGAATATATGACTAATAAAATATGGTTGACTTGAAATGCTTTAAGCTATCAAATAATTTTGAATATAAAATTGCGTCTTAGAATCCAAAGTTAAGAATTTAATTTGATTACATAAACTTCAAATGAAACTCTAACAATAAAGACATTTCCATCTTTAAGTAAGTTTTTATTTTATTTTATAAGTATTTAAAGAAAATTAAAGTTAATTTATAGACAGTGAATAATATTTACGTTTGATATCCAAGCTTAGCTGCGAAATGTAATTTGATCTAAATTGCATTTGAATGCTACTTTCTAAGAACTTCCATAAGTACTTTTTTAATTGAATGCTATTTGTAAGCATGATTATTTAAACAATTTCCGCTCGCATTTACCCCGATATCCCCAACATCTCGATTTCGATTTGGCCTTTTCCGCTTCCTGTCAATCTGCAAGCGATGGGAGCGATGGAAGCAACATTAGCGCTCGACTCTAGAGAACTCTATAAATAAATAAGAAATACGTGGTGGGGGCGGAGGACCTCTCACGATGGCATTTCCATGTCCTGCATGTCCTTCTCCCCCTCGAGCGAGGGATTACTCATACGTCGTTTAATATGAAAATATAATTCGCTTTTTGTTGTGCCATGTCGTCTGTCCTCCGGACTTTTTCGCCGTGCGTGTGGCCAAGAGATATGGGTACGCGTGGTGTCGCCCACCAGATCCTGCTCCTTTCCACGCCACGGGGCACAAGGACCGCAATCAGCTAAGCAAACGCGTTAGATGCATGCATTTTCCACCAGCCGAGCGACAAGCTCTTAATAGAACAAGGAAAGCAGCGGAGTGAGCTCACACCGATGTGGTCAATGCCCTCAAAATGTAATGGAAAATTTTCATAAAATTTGTATATTACTTACAAGACATGGCAAAGCATGTGCTCAAATGTATTTCATTAAATGTAATACATTTATTATGAAAAAGCTATATATTAAGCCTTATATTAATTTTTTTAATTACCCAAATAAATTATATATGTTCTTTTTGGAGATAATGAAAAATCAAAGTTCTTAAGTTTTGACGTCCATGATTTAAAAAATTTCTACCAAATGTCTTTTCTTAAAACAAAAACGTTGTAAATACTATTCTGAGACTATAAGTAATTTAAAAATATCTATAATTTAATTCAATACTTTTACTACCGTCATTTCACTAATGCTTTGTTAAGACTACAAAATTAAACGAAAACTAATTTCACTAATGAATGCACATAGATTTTGGTTTGGATAATGACATGAGATTGTCACCCAATTATAACAAAATTAGAACCACAGAAAATCCAGCAAAGAGTTATCAAAGCGTAAGCTACCTTTTATCCTGTTCCTTGGCTTAGAATTAATTAGAGATATAGTCTTTGAAGCGTATCTCAAACATCTGAGTGCAATCCTTGACAAGCGTGTTAATTTGCATAGTTTGCGACATATTTCGAGCTCGGATGACACATGAGCTGAATTAAAGTGAAACGTGCACTCCGAGCTATATATGCATTCAAATATTAACCGAGGCATACAATCATTTGAACGGTACCCAGTAAATGTTGCTTTACGATTGCCGGAAGGTAAGTCCGTGTCATCGCATTGTGATAACTTTGATTGCGAATCACAACATGTCCACATTGAACATCAGCAAATCGCACGACCGCGGGGAATTCCGAGCAGGTGCAAGGACTACAATGCAATCCAATCACACCTGCACATCGATTTATTCAGGGAACAAGCAATGTCAATCTGGCGAGGATGGCTCATCGCCTCCTTTCTCCTTTCTGCCGGTATGTTTTCCATGGAAAAGGGAAAAAATCGAAGCGTTTGACATGTGACCATTATGTCAGGGGAGTTGCTCTGGCCCGGCCTTGTGTGTTTTTTCCTCAGAATGCTATGGCTTGAATGCAACCAGCCAGCCATCTTAGACATCCAGCCACGAACAAGAATGTTTTTGATACTCCACACTGGCGAAAATTTATTGTTCAAAATCGAAAATTGGCGGACCTCTACCTCCATTTCATTCTTTTTGGTTTTCTAGACCAAACTTACTATGAATAATGTTCATTTATTATGCTACTAAAACTGTTTTAACTTATTAACTTAACTTACATTGAGGCATTAGTCCTAATCTTATTATTTTTCATCCTAAAATATATAAATAAACGGATAGTTTTTTAAAGAATATTCTGCCAAGACATCTTACCAATAGTTTTTTATCAAGTTTATAAGCTTTATTAAATTTCTGGTAATTTGTTCTGAACTTGGCACTGTTTTTTGTGTTTGCTAACTTTTTTTCAAACATTTTGCCTCCGTGCAGCTGCAACGTTGTGCATTGTGTGTGGGTCTCCAAGATGAAGACCTGTGGGGATAAGAGCAGAGAATGTTTGTAGAGATACTCACACATTGCCTTTGGCAATGGCTAGGGAGGGAAAGTGTGAGGCCCACATTGTGGCGCCATATCCGAGAACAGAGAACTCAGAGTGGAGTGGACTGGCACTATTTGTTGACGGTCTCGGCCTCCTTTGTCAGCCATTGTTTGACTCGCTGGCCTTGAGCTCCATTCCACATAGTCGAGTGCCACGTCACAATATTTTATAGTTATAGTGTGTTTTCCTTTGCTGATGGCGTTTATTGTTCACTGTCATAAGTTCACTTTGTTCGGCAAAGTGTTGCCTGGCATTATATGGGCGCTATAAATAAATTAGCCACAAATCACTCGCTTTAAATGTGGCTAAGTGTATGTTTGGTATCCAAACTATAGGCAGCATAAGCAATCGTTTCATGCTGGCAACTTTTGATTTATTGCACAACGTTGTTAGATGACATGAAAGCAGTAAGACAGTAACAAAGAGCCGAAAACATGGCCAGAAATTGCTGTCAGCGGGGGCTTTTTCGGTGGGTGGTGACTTAGGCCATGGCCAAGTCAACAAAAAATGGCCGTTCTTCCCTGACTTTTTAAAGGCTACTTTTTCTACACGTTCTTGGAATGTATACGTATTAAAAATTTGGCAAGACATGCGACATTTTTAGCCTTAATTTGAAAGCACTCGCTGATGATAATAACAATGTTGAACTTTTCATTATGCAAAGTTAGCAAAGTGGCATTAATAATTCCGGCAAGAAGCAGAAAGCGAAGGACCAAGAACAGCCGAAGATAAAGACGTTAATATATACGTATATACACGAATGATAATTTTCCATATCAAATTATGGCCATTTAGCGTCATGGGTGTGGCCTTATTAAATTTAATTTGCCCAAGGAATTTCATTAAGACATTCAAAATGTTTAACAATAAGGTCAATATGAAGACGTCCAAATATTTGACATATAAAATTATATGTATGGAAAATACATTTCAAACTTTTAAAATATTTTATAACGTATTTTATGTGTGAGAAACAAGCCGCGTATTAAAGTCAAAGATTTAGCTAAAAACTTTTTAATCTAACTCAACTCATTACTAGCATACTTTATTACCGCAATACCCATTTGGGCCATTTTTCCTTGGAATCCAGAACGCAAAGAAAACTTTTCTTTTCTTTCCCGCAAAACATTGAACCGCTATTTTTCTTTTTGTATTTTTGTGTAAATGTTTTTTTGTTATTTTAGCCGAAAGGAAACTTTCGGGCAAAGCTCAATTGAAATGCGCATTTGGAAAATTGGAAAAACAAGTGCTGGAAATTAAATATATGATATATATAAAATATATATATTTGTTGGTGGATAGCAGACGGAAACTTTCTGTTTGCCAGCGCTCTTGAAAAATGAGCACAAACTCAAGCTCCTGACCTGCGTGGCAATACTATATTGGCCCACTAAGGGCTCCCAGGACTTGATAAATGGCCTGATTTGACTTTCGACTCGTAAACACAAACACACGGCCACTCGCACACAAATACTCACACCCACTTGGGGACAAACAAAAACAAACACTCGCACAATTGGCCAGTTGGTTATCTTAAATGCTACAAGTGCTTTGGAAATTGATTGAAAATACTATACTGCCTGCCTGCCAATTGATTGTCTCGAGTTTGTGTTTCACGCTCTTTGCACCATTTTCCGCCTGCGATCCGAACATATTGAATAATGCAACATAGCCAAATATAAAAAATAGCAGCGCATATATATTCAGTGCGTATACGCCCCGCTGACGGCCAAATAAGCACAATTGCCACGCCAATGGCTTAAATATTTAATTAAATTTCGTTTGACTTTCGTGCGGAATGAGCTAATTGTTGCAAATGGTGCTGTATTTAAATTAAATTGTTTCCAACAGAGGTTAATGGATATTTATAATGGCCAAGAATTTCAGCAAAAGTCAAAGTGATGACATAATCCATTTAATCTCTTAGTATTCATATATTTAGCTAAAATGCTGTCATAAAAACAAAAATAAAGTTTAATGAATTTAAATTAAATTGCAGTGCGTTAAAATCGCTGCAAAAGCATAAATGACATATCTCATTAAAAGATCTACTCAATTTATATTTTATGGTCTACTTTAAAACTTCAAACATGCAACAAAAAATTCGTCATTAGTACG